TTCATTTTTAATTCAACAGAATTTATACTTGTAACTTGGAGGTACATATTTGTTCTGTGTTGAGCAGTGTACAGGGAGTCAAATTACAGTATATTTTGTACCACTGATATGCATATACAAAATATACATGCTTGTTTCAGAGCAGTTGTTCCTGATTTTTTTTTTTTTCTTTTTTATGTCAGTGTTACTGATACAGATTTTGGCTTCTGAAGGTCAGGCTAAGAGGCCACTCCACCTCCCCACTGGACACCAGCCTGAGACTTTTGCCCAGCTGTCTGGGACTGGCCTATGGAATCTGGGACTGTTTCAGCCAAACCAGAACATATGGTCACCCTATCTGTATAAGACTGCATTGGGCTAATTAATATTTATCTATCAGGTTGGCTTTAAGTTCTTATAGTGTAAAGGAAAGAATAGATTGCTGGGGGATTATAAGATTTATTTTAATATGTGTGTATCTAAAAATTGGATTTCATTAAAAATATATTTTGGCAAAGAATCATTGCCTTTAGTCAAATCCACGTGTCACATTTTTGTAGACTGAAAAAATAAAACTTAAAAATATGCCTGGCTCAGAAAAAATCTACAACCGAAAAAAAAACTGGTTCTTCTAGCAAAAGCATTTTAGATCTTCACTAAAGTCTAAACGTCAGGTGTCTGTGCAGCCTGATGAAGTCTTGTATTCCAAAGGCTAGTCCCAGCCACATTGTCAGAAGTCCTGGACTGGAGTCCAGTGGGGAGGTGGAGTGGCATGGTACACCAGGCAGGTGGGCAGGCAGGCACGCAGGTACCACTGCTGCTGTACAGGAGCAAGGTGGGTGAATGTATGGTCACCTTATGTAAGGTGCCATATCTGGGGTCCCTACATTCCACAGTGGCAGCGGTGCCTGCCCACCCAGCTGCCTGGCGCACCACGCCGCTCTACCTCCCCGCTGGACTCCAGCCCAGGACTTTTGACCAACGAGCTGGGACTGGCGTACAGAATCTGGGGTTGTCCTGGCCATATTGGGGCTTATGGTCACCTTATGTATAGGGATATCAGCTCTAAACAAGCTGGCATCGGTACTAGTAGCAGTACAGCAAAGTAAGCTGCAGGGCAGGCACAGTGCTGTGCTGTGCCATGTAGACAGACAGCTTTTAAGACCTCGTTAAAGTCACTGGAGAATTATCCATTGTGCCAATAGCAGGATGAGTTTTACAAAGGTGACTGAAATGCATTGTACACACATTTATATTCACCTAGCTTTTAAACGATCTCTGCTGTAATTTGGCAGTTGTCCACATGTACATTGTTACTGGGGAATTTTTCTATTAATTTTTTGGATGTTAAGGTAAAAACAGTTCCTGATTTCCCCCCCCCCCCCCCCCCC